TCCATCGCTTTCCATTTGTTTATGTACTCCTTATGCAAAATTTGTTTCACAGTTTTTTAAGTTTTAGAATACTAAATGTAAACAGCGTCATCCCCTGAAAAATCCAGTTTAACTTCCTGTACAAGGGCAGGCAACTCAGTTGCCACAAATGCCTTCAAGCCTGTTAGAAGCTTTTTTTCCTCTGCTAATTAGCTGTGAATGTTTTATTTGTTTGGTTTCTGACGGTCTCAGCAAGCAGAAGCAAAGGGGCTAGAAAGGAAGGGCCTTGATTGTCAGGGAGGGTGACCTCTGGGCTTGTCTGTAGTTGTTGTCGCCATGGGAGAACTCTGTTGAAAAGAAGATGACTCCACTTACAGGTAAATCTATAAAGTTGTTGCAGTACTCTCTTTACTCACAGGCAATTTTTTTCTTATTCCCCCTTTTAATGTAACAGATACAGAGAAGCAATACAGAGAAGATTCCTCTATTTTCTCAGTCCTTGCTCCTGTGTAATCTATAAATCTGGATTCCAGCATGCATAGCCTCTGTGGCAACTTCCCACAATAATTTTTACTTAATAGTCTTAACATTATATCACCTTGGTAGTGAAAAAAGATGTGGATGAAATTTAACAATGCAGAAATTTCATAACTTCAGGCAATGTAAAACTATGGAAGCTTTATATTTTACAAATGATCTCAGAGAGAAATTTAACTTCACATTTAGAGAGAAACTTAAATGGTGACACCCAAAAAATTAAACTACCAAGCAAATAAATTCTGAGTACTTAAGATGTATCTGATTACAAAAAATGCAGGGTACCATAATTAAGATAGCTGCTACTTCTTCAGTTTCTATAAGAAACTGATGGTCTTAATGATCTGATTATGGGACTAGATACGGAGACTTCAAAAACAGTTACAAAGGGTTCAGCACGGTAAACTAGTGGCCAAGGTTCTTGCCTTTTATGCCCTGGCATCCCATATGGGCGTCGGTTTGTGAAGTGGCCTGCTTCCCATCCAGTTTCTTGCTTGAGGCCTGAGAAAGCACTCGAGGACGGCCCAAAGCCTTGGGACCCTGCACCCACATGGGAGACCTGGAAGAAGCTCCTGGCTTTAGATTAGCTCAGCTCTAGCCTTTGCAGCCACTTGAGGAACAAATCAGTGGATGAGAGATCTTCCTCTTTGTCTCTCCTCCTCTCTGTATATCTGACTTTCAAAGAAAAATAGATCTTTTTTTATTTTTATTTTTATTTATTTATTTTTTTAAAGATTTATTTTTATTATTTTTTCATTGGAAAGGTGGATATACAGAGAGAAGAGACAGAGAGGAAGATCTTCCGTCCGATGATTCACTCCCCAAGTGAGCGCAACGGGCCGATACTATGCCAATCCGAAGCCAGGAGCCTCTTCCGGGTCTCCCACGCGGGTGCAGGTTCCCAAAGCTTTGGGCCGTCCTCGACTGCTTTCCCAGGCCACAGGCAGGGAGCTGGAAGGGAAGCGGGGCTGCCGGGAATAGAACCGGCACCCATATGGGATCCCGGGTGTGCAAGGCGAGGACCTTTAACCACTTGCGCCACCGAGCCGGGCCCGAAAAATAGATCTTTTTTTAAAAAAGTGAAAAAGTTGCAAATTAAGTTGAAAATAATCACATAATATTGCTTTAATTTTTATTAATTATTTGCTCCTCTCATAGTTATAGAACTTATGCTCAATTAAAAGGTATCTCAGAAAATACTTTGGGAAAATTTCCTGTGTCATAGCTGAATACAGCCAACACAGAAGAACGATACAGGGTTTGATTACGTGAGAAGCAATATATCTAAGAAATTACCCTGTATACTATCTAGTGCACAAAGTAGGCAGTTTGCTGTTAGCTATCCATCCTTCAGGTTTCAGTTCAAGTGGCTCCTGATTTTGGTTCCCCTTGTTCATGATGAGTAAAGAGCTTGAGGCTCTCAGGCTTCAGAATCCGTGTTCACAGTACCCATGTGAAGTGTACATTCTGCATTTCATCATGGCTACCTCTACACACAGTATAGAAGACATACTGACCTCTGTGTTCTGTCATGTGGGTAACGTATTTCCACTGAACTGGCTGAAATATTTTTCTAAACATATCAAAATAAGAATCTGCTTTATACCGCCAACAGTGTTTTCACTATTCTTACTTGTAATTTGAGGTGTAGAGAGGAACAGAAAAGAATTCAGGTAAGCGAAGCAGGAAGAAGGGAATCTAGATCGTAGGGATCTAGATAGTATTTAATAAAGGTGAACTTAGGATCATACGCTGAACTCAAACTGTCACTTTCCCCAATACTACCAGATAAGTTTGTGTGTATGAGAAATGTAGCAAAGGAATAGCTGTAGACAGGACAATGAAAAAGAAAATTGAGGGGTGGGGGAGGGCGCGTGTGTGTTGGCTAGGACAAGCTTTGGGTGTACAGTGTGCCAGCATGAAGGCCACCTGGCTCCGAATCTCCTACCTATAGTTTAGACCCGACTCTTACCTATTAGTTACATGTTTACAAAAAATCTCTCCAGCTCAGTTTTAGTTAACTTTTCATAAAATTCAAGAGGTTCACATAAAAATAAAACTCCAGATATCTGTTTAACTTACACTGCAGTTGGTTCGGTTTTATTTGCTCTTAAATGTTTTTGTCAGTTACACTGACTATTGCACTGACATAATTCAATTACATATTATCTTTAAAATATGTAATGTATATGGCAAATGAAAGTTACTTCTAGGAAAATCAAATTGAATGAGCTCTGGAAGCTCAAGAGTTTCTAAAAATGTTTTAAACTGGATGCGGAAGCCAATTCTAAAAGACTAGGTAGAAATAATAAAAATATATCAGGATTATATAATGATATTATTTCACAACAGTTCACTTGACTCTTGCATAAAGAAATCAAGACGGAAATATGTCTATAGAAATCAAGATCAGAGGTATGGTTTAACAAAGTACAAAGACAAAGGAACCCAATCAGTGGACACACACACCCACACACACACACACACACACGCCAACAATGGCCCTACATCACAAAAATGGTGAATAAAATATAAAGTACTTGATTAAAAAGATTACATGTATTTTTTTAATGCTTCACTCTTACTGTAGGATTCTTTTTTATCACTATAGTTATTATTCATTCAGATTGCTTCAAAGTAAAGTACTTCTTTTAAATTTAACAAATGCCTTAAATCTTCCTAAGATATCAAAGAAGTATCACATTAAAAGTTCAGCTTTATAGTTAAAGCATGTTTCATACTACATGATTTTATGGAAGAAAAATTAAAACAAAGATTACAGCAAATCCAAAAAAGCACAAACCTAATCATAACAGCAAAAATTCATTATAATTTCATTGGTATCTTTCATAAGTTATATGTATATCAATCTAAAATACTTTCATGATTACAATTTGTCAGTCTACCACCTTGCATTGTTTATGACCAACAAAACAACTAATCTTGAGTCTCCAAAGTGAAAATGTCAAGTATTTACCTAAAAAAAAATCATTTTATTTTCTTTATGGTATGTATTGTCAGGGAGAAATAATTACCAAGTAAGTAAAAATTTTAGAACTCAAACTGATCAAGAAGTTTGATAAAGAAAGTACAGTTTCTAAAAAGATTTAAAAGTTTCTGTAAAACTTCTTTGAATACTTTCTAAAAAATTATGATGAAGCAAAATAATCTGTTGGGTTTAGATATCACAGATAGTTTTAAATAAGTGGTAAACGCAAGCAAACATAAAATATTGATTCTAGTTTTACAAACTGTCCTGCATGCTAACCAAGAAATATGCCAGTTTAATATCAATATTAATTTTAACATTAATTGTACCAAATAAACTATTATGAATTGCTCAAGATTGAAATTACATTTCGGTGCTTCTGACCTAAAATATTTCTAAAAGATGACAAATGCATACTTATAATCTTACACATGCCTTGAAGGGTGTTTTCAAATAAATAATATAAAATAGTAAATAACTTAAAAACGGAATATTATCAAAATATTTTATTAACTGTGAAGAAACTTAAGATATTGTAAGTAGCAATGATAAAAACTAATTGTTTTAATGGAAAAACTGATAGTTTCACAGAGGTTAGAGAGATGAACACTAATCATTTTTAGCTCATTTCCTCTTCAAATACAACACTTTCATTATCAATGGAAAGAGGAAAATAAAATACAGATGCCAGAGTCATTAGTATCCTTAAAAGATCAGGAAAACAGCTCTGGCACATGAATTTAAAGTGAATAGAACTAGCTCTCTACTTATAAGTGATCATTTTCTGAAATGAAACATTTCTTCCCCCAAATTACAAACTCAATGAATCTCAAAATTTACTAAAATACACCAAAAAATATTATATATACCTTCAAGTAGTTTAAGTATGTGCTGTGAATTTTCTAATTAGAAACAACAAAATTAACAAAGCAACAATTTAACAAAATATGGCTTCCCATGCTAAATATAAAGAAAAGTGAGGTAATGGTCATATAAATATGGTATGATTCACATTTTATCATTTGATCAAGATTAACTAGAATGGGAACCTTTGTTTACAGGCAGAAAACAAATGTCCTCACTTCTTTCAATACTGTAAATAAGATGAAAAGCAATATACATTTTTACATAATTATACAAATGCTTATGTAAAGGTTCCAATGTTTTTACACTTCATAATTAAATGTTATTCAAATAATAGGTGATGAGCTAGCTTCATGAATCTTGTTCCTTTTTACTGCTTATATTTTTAATAGTAACAGTAGGCAAAAGATTATTCACTTTTTCTATCTTGATATTCTAAAAGCACTGAGATAATTTTATAGGACCTTTTATCTAAATGTTAAAAATACTGTCAATCAGGCTTACTTTATGAACACATCATTTGATTCATTCAATGTTGTAAAGCACTGTATGTCATTCAGATAACATGCATAAATTATTACACGAATAATTAAAAATTAAAGCACCTAATATATGAAAAGAATATTTTTACCTGGATTAGATGAGGCAATGCTTTTAGTGTGAGGCAAAACCAAATCCCCAGTTTACATGGAAGCAAATCCTGCCACTGTGGTTTCGTTAGCAATCTAAGGAGAATGGAGTAGGGGGTAGGGTAGGGTAGATCATTAAAATAAACTCTGCAGACAAAGTATTTTTTTTAAAGACTATGAATTCTTTTCTGAATGAACTTTCCAACAAAAAAAAAAATGAAGGCATTCAATGAAATATTTGTGACAGTTATTAGTTCATCTGACATTCTATCATGATACACACTGGTTACAACAAATGTACTGTGTCTTACAAATAGGAGTCTAGCCTAAGTTTTTGGGGAAGGTGATTTTAACAATGTTACACAGATAAAGAAATGCAGTATTTTTTTCAACCTGGCCCTTTCATCACTTCTGCAAAATGGATTCTTAAGCCTTAGGACTCCTTCAGCTATAAAAGACTAACCATCCTGTTCCTAAGTGCTGACAACCAGATATGAAGACTGCAGCATAAACAAACCAATACATAAAAATTAATGTCATTTGCAGTTCACTGAAGCATTGCTCACTGATGTCATCAGAATAGAAGGCAGGCAGAATAGTCTGATCTCCATCTCACATTGATCGAGTTTGTGCCCTGCTGTGTGAACTGTTTAAACTCTTTACTTCTCTCTATGAACCAACAGAAGAAATGCTGACATCTCTCCGAGTGCCCTGCATCTCTCGCCTCTCCACACACTGCTGCTCCCAAGCCAAAGGAGACTGTTTTGGTGATAACCTGGCTTCCAACGTTCAGTAAAAAAATGTAAAGCTATACAATTTGAGAGTTTATGTTAAATGTAAATTAATACTTTATAAGGAAAAATTCTGGAGAAATGTTGCTTATACACAATGACACATTAGTCTTTTATAGACTTATTTAGAAGTAAATGAGAGTATATCTACAATGCATTTACATATGAAATTAAATCTTATTGAAGACACATTTAAAAACAGCACTAAATTATATTTTACATGCTCCTACCTTTCATTTTTTTCAGATGCATCAGGTTTTGACACATCAACACTCTTGCTGCCAGTCTTTTTTTTCTTTTCCCTCCTTTTTCTACTGAGCAGTTTATCCTGAATGTGCAAGAATTATGGTTACAGGTTATCATTAACATGTACTCTTCAAATGTTATCAACACTCTTCTGTGAAGGGTAAACATTATGGAGGAACATTTATGCAAATGTATGTAGGGTTCAACATGATTAAGGAAAATCATCCATCTTTCACAATAACTGTTGCCATGGTATCCAGGCCCCAACACACATGAAGTTCAGCACTGTCAGTCATGTGCATCTCCATAGCAATCCAAGTTTTCTAAGGGAAAGCATTCAACTTACTTTTTTCATTCATGCAACTTTAATAATGTCACTTCAAAAGGAATAAGTAAACAGATGCTATTCATGAATGCTGACAAATATGCTTCATTATCGTTGCTGCATAAAGAAAAGTCCACACTGTAGCATATCAAACTGAAGCATAATATTTTAACCAGCTGAACCTTGAAGTTATAAAATTATGGTCATTTCAAACTTTATTTTATTATGACACCTTTAAAGTAACTCATTATATGCAGGTCCCTGACAAAAAAGAATCTGAGTCAATCTTATCTTTAAAAATGCATCTACTTAAGGTGAAAAATTAAGAAAAATGTAGTCCTACATTTTTAGTGTGATATTTGAGCCTTCTAAAAGTTTTATAAGAAACCCATCACATTCTTTAAAAAAAGGGGGAGTGGCTATTTTCTTATCTCATGGGCTCTTCCTGACTTAGAAATTCATCAAACATTAAATGTTGGATATAAAATTATCAGAAAAATGTTCTCATTGTCTGAGAAATGTTTGAAATTCCACACAAAATTGAGGAGGCTAGAGCATTTTGTTTGTAGTACTCACCAATTGTTTTTCCAGGTAAATTGACCAAACCACAGCATAGTGACCCACTGTGAGAATAATGAACAAGAGCAACGCCAGCTCCGCATTGCTCATTCTCCTCACGCGCCTATAGTAGAATACAGGCTGTCGCCAATCTGGAAGCCCATTGACCAGAATATCATCATACCTAGAGCAGCAAATAGGACAGTTCTTCATGGGAAGTTTAAAATAAAACCCCTTATTTGTACCTATTTTCAGAAAAAGGAAAAACAAAATCATTGCTCAAAGACAGACAGCACTTGCATAGACTACCAGCACTACAGTGTCTAGTACCTGAAAATTCAAGGTACTCGTCACAGCTCCCGTCACTGACCACCTTCAGAAACATGAGCGGCAATAAACCACAGAGGACAAATTTCATTAACTTTCTGTAGGATAACGTCAAGAAGCTACATATAGTTTACTCCTCTGCCAGAATCTAGCGAAGACCTCACGACAGAAGTCAGCAACAAAAACACAGGATTCTAAAAGGGGGAAAACAGTTATCCACTACCATGAATCACATGTTAATTGAATCAAATCAATGCTTTTATTTCTATCCCCCTACCACAATGGTTCAAGGCTGAAATTCTTATGCACATTATTTATCAAAGCTGTTTAATGAGGTAAAAGCCTACAAAACAAGGCACTTTTTACTCTGTATTAGTTTCATCATTTTATAAAAAAAATTTCAAAATTAGAAAGAGATATGGAACCAGTGTTTACATCAAACTTCTTACAAAACTATTTATAAACAGTTAAGAGGCAGTTTCTTTATATCTGGCTTTGGTTAGCAGGGGCCATTAACAAATAAATGCTTTCCTCCAAGTAACACACTGTAAGTTTGCTTTCTTTGTATCATCAGCTTTAAAAAGTTAATTTAAAATAAAATTTCAACTGGATTTAAACTTACTTCTCAGACTATTACCAAGACAAACACTTATAGGGCTAAAAATAAGGAGTAACATTTATGATTGTGAATTTCAAAATGTTCACACACACTGGATGTTCAACACACACAACCTGTTAATCTTAATTGAACACAACTCATTAAATATTCTAATCACACTATTTCCAGAATTAAATCTTCACTGAAAGGCCTAATTTGGTGCAACACATTGACCAAAATATTTTAATTAAAAATATTCTGAGTTAGTCGCAGCCCTAATTACTGGAATAGAAATAGGGCCTATATTGTCAGGCAGGTCAGTAGAACTCAGTAGTAGGTTTTTCTCAAGTAAATTGACCGATCTAGGAATAATAGCGCAGCTGCTAAACTGCCAGTCTTGACATGTAAATCAATTTAAATGCAACAACTGCAGTAGCTACTTTGATAGTTATTAAATTGATACCTTGGAGATATGCTAAAAAAAAACCCAGAGAATTTATTACCAGCAACTTTTTTCTTTCAATGGAAAACACTGTTTATTAATGTAAAATATATTTTATTAGACAATCTAGAAAACCTGACTTAATGTAGAATGTTAATACTAGTAGATCAGAATAACTGATATGGAAAGAAAAGAACATTCGTTAGTTCTATACTCCTAAAACAAATTATTATTATAATCTTGAGGTGTGAGAGCTAACTTATGGTTCTATAGTACCTAAACCAGAAAAAAAAATGTTAAATATTTTTATTTTTCAATTTCCATGGAAATTCTTGTACATTGATATCATGATATACTAATATAACTATCGATATTTAGCTTAAATAATCTAATACGCATTTAGGATACATTTTGAAATTTGGAGTAAAACTGATGTAGAAAAATCATAAACAGGAAACAGATATAAATTAATTGCATTAATTAAGTAATGCATACTTTTGCATTAAAAATGTGATAACATTTCTATATTTTGTCTAATAAGTTTATTTATCTTTTAAAAAAATTGACATAGTAAAAGTGGTAAGTCAAAGTTATTCTCACACTAATGTTCATTTTGATTCACGCATTCCTTTAAGCATAAAAAACTGGGTAATGGATTTATCAGTTTTGCAGATTGAGGCTGAGATAACTATACTTTTAACTGCATTTACAAAGAAAACACAATTTAAGTTAGTAAATTAAAAATATTTTTCAGATTTTAATATCACTGCAACATGAAAATATTTTAAAATACACAACCATGTTCATAAGAGTACTGCTTAAAAATATCTGACAGATTTTAGACATCAGTAAATGGTAATGTTACTAAAACAAAAATCTAATGTAAAGTAGCACTTGCACAGAAATTTATGTTGAAACGTAACTGCACTACTGTTTCACAGAATCAGCACTATAAATAAGGATTTTAGGAAACACTGCTTGGACTGATTTTCTTCCACTAAACAGGAAAACTTGCTGTTTTTATGTTTTATGTCACATTGGGTAGCATGTGGAAAGGCTTAAAAGTTTGTTCAGAATTTCATTCCTAGTAACTTACTAAGAACTGAAAGCATTTCCACACAAAGCACAGCAGCATGGTTCATCATCACCAACAAGTGGAAATAGCCCATCCATCAGTTGGTGAATGGGTATACACATGCAGCATATACAGACAATGGAATACCATTCAGCAAGGAAAAGGAATGCACACTGCAATATACTAATGTGGATGAACCTAAAAAGCACTACATTAGCAGAAAGAAGTCAGATGGAAAATAAATGTGCTGAGTTTATTTATGTGAAATGTACACAAAAAGACAAATTCACAAGCACATAAAGTAGAATAGCGATCACCTGGGCTGGGAATCAGTGTGGGAGCTGCTCACAAATGGGGCTTTAGGGAATTCTGCAAAACGAATTGCGGTGATGCCTTGAATAACTGTAAATTTACTAAAAATAACTAAACTGTACAGGTGACTTTTATAGTAGGCTAATTATACCTAAATAAAGCTGCCTTGTGGCACAGCAAGTTGCTTCCTTCAATGCAGACATCTCATAGGAATGCCAATACGGCTGCTACATTTTTGATCCAGTTTCCTGCTACATTGCCTGGGTAGGCAGAGAAAGATGGACCAAGTGTGGACCCCCAGCACCCATGTGGGAGACCCTGACGGAGTTTGGACTTAGGCCTAGCCAAGGTTTTGAGGCCATCTGGAGAATGGACAGCAAATGCAAGCTCTCTCTGTTAAAGAACCATGCCTTTCAAACAAATGAATAAAATCTTTTTTATTAAAAACTATTGAAAACTAAAACTTGACTTTTCTCTACAAAAAACTTACCTAGGTTATTTATTTATTCCTTTGCTAAATTCCAGCAAAAATTTCAAGAATAAATTAGATTTCAGTGAAAACACAATTAATTATACATTGCAAAGTCCTGTAAAGTCACATGTTCAAAAGCATTTAGTCAAGGAAAAAAGCAATTGTGACACAGAAAGCAGTTTCATTTAGAGGGAATCAATCCTCTTTCAGAAGATAGGGCTGACTGTGCACTTTCCCCCCTAAAGGAATTAAAGACCTTAGGTAACTGTCTGCAGAGCCGCCTTTCTCCAGGCCACCTGGCCTCAGGCACAAGGCTTTAGAGGAATGAGTCTCAGCTTGATGAGCTAAGACTTTTGCCTCAAGGAAAACCAGTTACTAAAGAGTTATTTGTGCCTCAAGGGATGTAAATACTACAGCTGTTTGTTTAACTGTTAAACCTTTTTTCCTACCAACACTAAAACAAATGCAGAAGACCCAATCCTAAACAGTGTTACAAGAGTTATGTTAATGATGAAACAAAAAGTGATCTGTTCTGAAAAGATAATTTCAATGACTGCTATACAGTTTACTGACTCCTAAACAACAAAAAGAAACTGATGTCAAAGAAGCTGGAAGACAAGCTAAACTTTTTTTTAAGATGTATTACATTTTTACTGGAAAGTCAGATATATAGAGAGGAGGACAAAGAGAAAGATCTTCTGTCTGATGATTCACTCCCCAAGCAGCCGCAAAAGCTGGAACTGAGCCAATCTGAAGTCAGGAGCTTCTTCCTGGTCTCCCATGTGGGTGCAGGGTCCCAAGGTTTTGGGCCGTCCTTGACTGCTTTCCCAAGCCACAAGCTGGGAGCTGGATGGGAACTGGGGTTGCTGGGATTACAACTGGTGCCCAAATGGCATGCTGGATGTATGCAAGGCGAGGACTTTAGCCACTTGGCTACCATGCTGGGCCCTAAATTGTCTTTTAAGACACATTAATGACAAATGAAATAAAACCAGGGGCTCACTGAGAGAAACCAAATAGCAAATATGCACAGAATGACCAACCCTTCTTTCAACACACTTCAGGTCTCTTTCAACACTATAAATTATTTCAAAGTGGAGGAATGTCTGCTACAGTACCTGAACCAATGCCAGCCCTTGTTATAAAGCAAAGAACACTTGAGAATATGTTGAATCCTTGCTTGCAATCTGACAAACTGAGGTATTTAAAGAATGAAGATGAGAACCATGAGTGCTAACAAACATTTCAAAATACGAAGTAATTACAGATGATACATTTGTAGGAAGATTAAGACTTTCACATAGTACAATTCTGGGGTAGTCTTGAGTTTGGAGTGTTGTATTATCCCCATAGATATGTATTTAGGTTGGCTTGAGCTTCAATCTCAAAAACACGATTGTATTTTTTAAAAAGATTCTTAATATACAAAAAATTTTTAGATTTTCCATTGTGGCACACTAGTGTTTCATGGAATCAATGAAAATAGTGTGGTTCACAACACACTGACATTGTTAAAGGAAAACAAACAAAAACCCAAAAAACAAAAACAAAAAACCCCCAAAAACAAAACGACCACTTGAGAACATGAAGTATCAGTATTTCACAAACACTAAGAAGTGCTTTGTGAAAAATCGCTCTTTGTGTGTGCTTGCACACCTACTGCAACATGATGCAAAATGCCTTTTATTCTGTGGGTCTAACTTTAAAAAGCCTGGAAGTCCACAACTATCAGCTGACACCACATTCCATTCATTCTGGGGTTCTGGGGCAGTGGAGAAGCCCGGGTGGAGGGGAGGAAACCAGTCTTTGTGTAATGCCCTCCCGAGTCAGTTGCACTATAAACCCCTAGGTACATTCAGTAATGCCCTTCCACAAGGGGCAGAGAGAAATCTCAAAAGCAGACACTGCCTCCACTTGAGAAGTTTAACCCCGAGTGCAAAACTTAAAAGATGCAGAGGGAGAAAAAGGGGGCAAACAAAATAGGAAAATCCAGTGTGTTTCTTCCATCTTCTACAAACTTATCCAAGTCTGTTCTCTTACTCAAAAGATTGAAAACACACAAAAAAAGGCATAATAATCTACTACTAACCATTTAATTTCAAACATTAAGAAAAAAAGGGGCTACTAAACATAGATAGCAGCAATTACTGACATATCAAAAGGAACAGATATTTGTTTGAAATCAAGTGATATTTCTATTTACTAGAGCATAAACACTCCTGGTACAAAGTTTCTCTTAGAAGCCAGGACTTGTTAACAACATCACCACTCCTAATCCTGAAATCTCTAAGTACTGAGTCAACCCAGCAAATATTTCCAGTAGAAGTTAATTCTGCTCTACGCAAACATTTTAAAAATGATTTTATTTGTTGAAAGGAATAAAAATAAAACACTGATTTAAAATATAATGTTCAATGAGACTTAGTTCTCTTTAAACTGTGGCATGGAAATACAACATTTAAGAGCAGAAAAGAACACTCACCTCTGTCTTCGTTCATCATCCTTTAAAACTTCATAAATGGCCACCAACTAAAATAGAAGCATTACTTAAAAATAAAAATAATCTCAATATTAAAAATTGAAGGCATTATAAAGCACATGTAGAAAACTACTTACCCATAAACACAATAATCAGATTAAAATCGATTATCAGTAACAATTTATATATGTAATATATAAAGTGTACACAAAATAACACTATATATAAAAACACTTTTTGATAGTATATTATGAGATTAAGAATGTTTGGTTTCAAAAAAAGTTTGGCATCAAAGTAATATATGAAAAATGCAAGTTACAGCTCATCATTAAATGTGCTTTTTAAAAGCAAAAGGTATAACACAGACAAGATAATTATGACAACTAGGATCCTCAAAGAATTCAGAGATTCTAATACAAAACATTGGCAGAAACATATTTCATAAAAATTGAATTAGCATATGCATGTTAGTTTTGAATTACTCCTTTATTTTCAAATGAGAGTATCCTATACACCAGTTCATGTTTCTACCATGCACACACTTAGTAATACACTTGTTACAAAATGTGTAAAACAGTATATTTCACTTACTTGTCTAAACTGAGTTTCTGCATTTTCATCTTTATTCTTGTCTGGATGTAAAGTTAGTGAAAGCTTACGATATGCCTTTCTGATGTCTGCAGATGAAGCATCCTGGAGGGGGGAGGGAGAAGCACAAAGCAACTTTGTCAGAAAAAGAAATTCCCAGAACCTTGTTAAGATCTGAGAAGACAGCCAACCAAGTGCAGGACCCCAGGCAATGTAATTTGAGCAATCAGTCTAACAACCAGCCTATGCAACTACCCTGACCCACATGACTGAACAATTATTCAATCTAATTTGGCTCTCCTCTTAACTTTTCATTACCATATAGTCATTTACAGAAGACAGTATTTGGCAAAACTTTCCAAACACTTGCCTTCCTAAAATTAACCAATAAATCTTTTTCAGTAATTAAGGGATCAAAAAGAAACAAATTAAAAATTAATACATCTGTGTTCTTTCAAAGACAGTCTTTATTTATTTGAGATCTTAAGACCAAGTTTTGAGTCCCAGGCTTGCTATATGTAGTTTCTTTATTGTTATTTGCATTGAATTTATTACCCAGCATCAATCGATGGCAGCTCAATCTTACACAGAAAAAAGTATGCTGATTTGAAGGCAGTTAAATTTGCACTTATTCAAAATCATTGCAATTAATATATATGTTGCATTCAACATTTTTAACCCTTGCACTATAGTTTAATATACTTAAAAAGTCATTCACTATACTTCAGTGCTTCAGATTGAACTGATATAAAATTACACTGTATATAATCCTGTGTGCATAGGTAAAATTGGAGAGTATAAAATGTCAGTAACACCACGCTGTCAAGTTGGGTTTTAAAGCTACCTCCACTAAATTTAAAAGATATTCCACTGGCAGTTGACTGGTACAATGGTGAAATGATTGCTTGAGACATCCATATCCTTTATCAGAGTGCTTGGATTTGAGTTAAGAATTCAGTCTCTATTCCATCTTCCTAGGAATGCATACTCTCAATGCTCATCAAGTAGCCGGGTCCCTACCACTGACATGAGAGACATGAACTGAGTCTCTGGCCCCTGGCTTTGGCCTGCCCCAGGCCTGTTTGCTGAGGATATTTGGGGAGGAAGCCAGAAAGTTGGAATGATCTCTCTCCTCTTCCCCCTTTCCCAATACTCTACCTTTTAAATAAATAAAATAAACAAAAGATTTCTTTGTTTGAAAGCCAGTGTCACAAGAGAGAAGGAAGAAAGGGGCACACATATACAGAGAGAAGAGAGAAAAGAGAGAAAGAGAGAGAGAAATGAGAATGAATCAGTCTTCCATTCACTGGTTCAGTCCTCCAAATGCCCCCTTACAGCCAGTTATGAAGACTGAGGCCAGAGACTTGAAATGCCATCAAGGTCTCCCACATCCGTGGCAGCATCTTGAGGCATTCTGCTAGTTTTTCCATATGGGTTAGCAGGGAACTGGACTGGAAGTGGAGCAGCTGGGACTTGCACTGGCATTCTCAAGGGATGCCAGTGTTGTGGGTGGTAGTTTAACCTGCCATACCACAGGTTCACACAATAAACAAACTTTTTAAAAAATCTTTGAAATTATGTTCATTTGTGCATCAAAATTGAATGCAATTGAAATGCAGGGGAAAAAAAAAAGACAGGGAACTCCAACACTCTATCCACAGAAACAGTGAATAATCCAGCAAAAATGTCCAAATTACTTTATTTGATCTCCTGCAACCAAAGTTTACAGCTATTATACATGTGCTTAAGCAAAAGGCCATGACTGCTATTAAGGGTCTGGAAGACATCAGCTTAAGTTTGTGGTGTGGATTCCCGATGCTGGAGGTTGCAGAGCTGCTACTGTCCTCCAGCAAACATTTCGGATTGCTCTATGTTTTGAACTGTCTGACTTCCCTTGGTTTGCCAAACTTACGACTCTACTTGAGCAGAGAAGGCATTTGCTGAAAACATTTCAAGATAAATTTATTAGCTGGTGGTGAAGGGGGCAAGAGATAATAATAATGGGTTAAAAAAATGGAGTCATCAAAAAACCCTGGGAAGTGAACTCTTTTGGAAAATGAGCTTTACATAAGTTCCACATACTCCTTAAAAACTAGCATGTCATGTGTATGCATGCCCAGAGCAGAATACACACTGAAGAGAAATCTGAGGCTGCTCTATGTTTTCACCTCCACATGTTCTATAGATTCTACGCAAGCAAAGTGGGATGCATGCCTAATGAAGACATGTAAATTGTCCAACTGAAAATGGAAGATGAACTTCAAAGCATTCGCAGAGCCCACTGATAAAGTCTGGGATATATACGATGGTCACCAAACATCCAGGGGGCAATTAGCATTCTTTTCATTTCATCTTTCCATAAAAATTCCCCCTTGGTGCGTTTATGTTCAGGGTGTTTAAGGAACTGTCTGCCAAATCATTAGCTAATCATTTAACTAACTAACCAGCGATTCCAGTGGCCACGTACAACATAAAACATACACTTTCACAAAATCTGCTAAGAAAAGTCACTAGGCAAAAACCAATCACAACAAACAGCAAAAATGAACCCTTGGGAGGTGGGAGAATATGACTGACACATTACATACTAAGCATGCCTAGTTCAATAAATGTTACGAAACATGCAAACAAGAAAAAACAAATTAATATTGTTCTTAACAAAATCCACATTGTATATACCACAAAAAGACCTTAAATGTGCTCAAAAAGCATATGCAAAAACTAATAGAACAATGCCTTACTAAACAGAATATCAACAAAACTTTCATAAACTTTTTGAACTAGTCTCTTACAAAGATGTACTTTGTTAAAAACAAGAAGCCTCTTATGTGACTGGAACTAAATCATTACTAATCTGAACTAAAACTGTTAACTAGTCCCCAGTAAAGCAATGAGAGAATCAAATGGTCAGCCACAATAACACAAAAGGAGGCACTGATGGAAGACTGAGGCATACAGAGAACTTACAGCAAAGACAGTCTTTATCAGCAATTATTTAAAAATAGATGGGTTACAGTCCAATTGTAAGATGAGTTTGACAGAATGGATTAAAAGCAAACATGTCACAAGTATATGCTATCTCAAGAGATTCATGTTAGAATCAAATGGAAACAGTAACCAAAAGAACTCAGTTATATTAATATCAGATAAAATAGCAATTACAACAGTGATTATTACTAAAGATAAAACCAGTATTTAATGATTATAAAGCTAAATTCATCAAGAATATACAAGATTTGTGAATATATAAAAATTACAAATATAAACATATGTGTTTAACAACAAAACCCCATAACATATGGCATAGATACCAAACAATTAAAGAGAATTAGACAATTCTGCAGTAACAGTTGGAAACTTCAACACTGCACTTAAATAAAAAGTGACTAGAATAATTACAGTAAGAAGATCATCTGGGAAATATGAAGACTTGAATAAGAGTATCAACCATTTGTCATTCACAGAACATGAAATTCATTACTAGTTTAATACACATCTTTCTCAAATGCATATGGAACATTCTCCAGGATAAATATTAGGCTATAAATTAAGTTTCAATAAATTAAAGATCAAAATCCTCCCAAATATCTTCTCTGACCACAACATAATGAAATACAGGAGGAAATGTGGAAAATTTTCAAATATGTGGAAGTTAAACAACAGACTAAAGTCTAAGTAAATATCTATTTTACTTGAAAGCCATAGTGAGACAGAAAACAACCATCCAACTGCTGGTTCAATCCCCATATGCCTTCAATAGCCAGGGATAGACCAGTCCAAAGCTGGAAGCCAAGTATCAATTCATGTTTCCCAGGTGGGTGACGGGACCCAGATACTTCTGCTATCATTTGTGCCCCATAGAGTGTGCACGAGGATGCTGAAATCAGAAACAAGTCGACTTGAACCTAGGCACTCCAATATGCAATGCCAACATCCCAGACTCAACCAACACATCAAAGAAGAAATAAAAAAAAAAAAAAAAGGAATTAGAAATACTGTGAAAAGGAGACATTTAAGCTAGGGGTCAGAATATGTTGGCAGAATTCTGCTCTGGCTGCTTTCAGCTTCTTGTTAATGGAGACACAGGGATAAAGTGAAGATGGCTCAAGTAACTGAGTCCTTTCCTCCAGATATGTAGATCTGGATTTAATTCTCAGCTTCCAGCTTTGGCTTACTCAGGTCTCTCTGCCTTTAAAAGTAACTGTCTCTCCTCCCTCTTTCCCCTTTTCAAGAAAATTTTGTGACACAGCAAGTAAAGCTGCCTCCAACAATACTTAGCATCATATATGGGTCCCAGCTCATGTTCTGGCAGCTCCACTTCTGATCTAGCTTCCTGCTTACATACCCAGGAAAACAGCAGAAGATGGCTCAAGTGTTTGAGCCCCTGTCACCCAGAAGAGAGACCTGGATAAAGGTCCTTGTTCCTGGTTTGGGTCTAGTTTAGCTCTGGCTGTTATGGTCATTTGGGAATAAACTAGCAGATGCAAAATCTGCCTCTCCCACACTCTTTGTGACTCTTTGAAATACAAGATCTTTAAAAAAAGAGAAAGGAAATACTGTGGATATGATTGAAAAACAACTTTATGTTGACTGCTCATAAAGTTAATCGTATTTTCTAGACTATTAATGGGCCAGAAAAACTGTGTTCTCAGAGAATAAAACTGAAAATCTTTGAGATTTTTTTCCCCATTATACTCAGAATGGTCAAGCCTATCATAGGAAACGCTATAACACATCAGGAATTGATCTGTTGTTGAACATTTCCTTTTAGACCCTTGCCTTCTGGATAGTTTTAACTAATGTTAACAATTACAGCTATTTTTATAACAAAGATTAATGATTAAGAAAATTAAGTTACAATTATATTTAATTGAAAAGTCACTAGGAAATTAGAAAATACTTTAATAGAAATAAAAATACAACATGCCAAAACTTAGGATGTAGTAAAGCAGTGCTCAGAAGGAAATTTACAGCTATAAATACTTACATGAAAACATGAAGAAAAGTTTCAAACTTTCAGGGAACTAGACAAGGGAAAGCAAAATAGACACAAATGGAATAAGAGTATCATAAAATGTAGAGCTGAGATTGAGATAGAGAACAGA